GGGGGGGGGGGGGGAAGCCTTTGTGACTAGACAGCTCAAGACACAGCCATGCAACAGGCTACTTAAGGAAGTGAATCTACCTCAATAAAGGGCCCAGAATTGCAGAATGAGCATCTTGTACAAGAAGTATTCTCAATTTGCACAGAGGAGTGGGGCTGATTCTGAGGACTAGTGGGGATCCCACTGCTCACTACATTCACCCAGACCAGCCACTCCAGCAAATGCCTACTCTGGTCTCAACAAAGGCTGTTGGCCTGAATCAGTGACCACAGCCTGAGGCTCAAGCCAAGAATGCAGTTGTAATGCTAAGATCAGGGGTAGTCTTATCACCATCTGCCCTAGCTCTGTCCAGAAGTTGCTTGAAGTTTAGGTGGGAGAAGGGCAGAGATGGCAGTCATGAGAGGGAAAAGGGAGTCCCAGAAGCCACAGATGCCTGCCTGAGTCAGGAAACCATACCACAAAGGTCCCTGAGTGCCCAGTCAGGCCCACTTGGCTTCCTCTCTATTAGTCACTAACCTCAGAACAGGGCAAAGGGGCTGCAAACCCAGAAGCCTCCAGTTACCTCTACGGTGACAAGACTCTGTCCAGGCTGCTTCCAGGTCAGCCGGCATGCTGCAGCAATGCCATGGAGTTCTAGTCCCTGATACGACCCATCTGTGACCTTAGCCAGAGGCTGGCCCTTTCCTGACCCTGTCCATGCAGCCCCATCAGCCATGGAATATAGTGAATGGAAACATCATCCTCATCTATTCTGAGTTACCCTTAAGAGCTGAGCCCATAGTGCAAGGTAGGCCAGGGGCTAGGATCTGTCTCTACTTAGCACTGCCCTTCTGGAAGGATGGTGTCAGGGGTAGTGTGTTAGTGCTCTGCCAGCCTTGGGAAGTATTTAGACAGGGCCTCTGAGAATGGAGAAGAGTATCTGGGAGCTTGGGGGTATCCAAATCTAAGCCTCAGGGAAATTATAGGGTAAACACTGCTTGCTGCTGTGGAGTAGCAGCGCCCCAAGCCCTTACTCTGATGCAACCTGTATTTCCCACTGCAGAGTCCACCTTGGGTCTTCCACGGATGCACACAGATGAGTACTCCATTGTCCTCCTGCCTGGGGTATCCCCAAATGGTGCTGAGGTGCCCTCAACCACCTCCAAGGCAGGAAGTAGCCCCTGGTAAGACCCTAGTCATGCTGTCAGTTCCAGCCCTGACTGCTGTCCTGAGGTTGGGAGCTAGTTCCCTGCAGGGCCAGCTTTTTCTGGGAAACTGACTATGAGTCAGCCTTTATCCTGGCACCAGGACACAAAAGGGGGACACAAAGGGAACTGGTCTGGCCTGATGCCATTTGATAGGGAGGCAGCCTAGGCCTCTGATGCTTCCAAGCATCTTCCCTGTTCCGACAAGGTAGAGCCAGATGATCACTCAGGACTCCTTGCACCAGGCCAGCTGGAAACCAACCACAGAAAGCCACATCATGGACACATTGTGGGGGAGGGGCATCTCTTGAGAACAAAAGACCCATTTCTAAACTCAACAAAGTGGGAAGCTTCTCCTGAGAGGAGTTCATGCACAGCCACTCTACATAGCACACTCTGGTGCAGACTGGACACAGGTGTCTGCAGATCGTTTTCAGTTGCTCTTATGAAATTAATGTTTGTGAATCATCCATACATGGTGGTGCTATTTCAGACTCTTCCAGAAGAATTTCTGTCATTGAAATATCAAAAGGCCCTCATAAGGTGTCACTGTAATATCTGACTCCAGATGAATATTAAATCATTGCTATATGCAAACACACTGCATGTCCTCTTCTGACCATTTGACTCTTCCTCCCAATGGGCCACCCGTCCACACAGTCTCCTTACCCGTGTTGCTCCAGCTGGTTCCAGGCCCCTTAACGCCCTCACTTGTACCAAGAGTGATATCAGGGAATGGTTCGGACAGAAAAGACCAGCCTCCATTGCCTGACTTGCATGTGTCCTTATGAATTCTCCCCTCGGGTATTCATGGAACAGGGGCACTTGCGAGGTGCTGGGCACGCTTGGGGTATGTAACATCGTCGTATCTCAAGAACATCTGCACCCACACAGCAGTTCCTTGAGGAATAAGGGGCTGATAGCCCCTCTCCCGCAGAGAACAATGACTTCAGAGTTGGACTCATAACCCACCAGCCTCCTGACTTGCGTTTCCCTCCCTGTTCCGCACGGCGAGCTCAGGGTGGTTCCAGCTTTCCCTGCCTCGCCCACCCCATGGGACCTGGCAAATTCAGAGTACCTTTCTGCCACCAGACCCGGACCTGAGAATATGGGGCTTGGTCCTTGCACGCAAGTGAGGAAGAAAGATCCTCCTCACAAAGCTGAGGGTGGGGTTCCGGCTGGAATGGAATCGCGAGGGTAGCTGCTGGGGTGGAGCGCTAAGGGCCATGGCTCTATTGTCCCCAGAGCCCACGGTCCCACGGCGGCCCCTCCTCCGAAGGCGCGGCTAGGCAGTCTCTGCATTGTGCAGGCGGAGCGCAACGCGGTGCTGATGCTGCAGAGTCTGCGGCATTTTGCGGAGGCGCCTCCACATTGGCCGGCAGCTCTGACGTCAGCCAGCGGGGGCGGGGCCGCCGCTATAAGAGGGCGCGGCGGGGGCCGCCAATCCTCCGCAGCTTGCTGTCCGCTCGCATCCCATCCTATTCGCCTGCAGCCAACATGAGGGAGATCGTGCACATCCAGGCCGGTCAGTGCGGCAACCAAATAGGGGCCAAGGTGAGGCCGCGTCGTCCAGCGTTTTGCGTCCCCTCGGGCGCCAGCCCCAGGGAGGGAGGGAGGGAGGGAGGGAAAAGCCGCGCTCCGGTGGCCGACCTAACAAAGGGAAGAGCCCAGTCTGGCGCTGGATGACAAGGGACCCCGGGGTCCTCATTCTGCTTCCCCCACATGTGTCACTTTATTCACGCCCGAGTTGCCGCAGGTGGCCTGGGGGCAACCCCGCTGATCATCAGTACCATCCACTCAGCGTGCCCCCACCAGGGAGCCAGTAGTTGCGGGGAGAGGGGGGGATAGTCTGGGCGTGGCCCTCTTTGAGGATGCCGCTTAGCCTTGAGTGAAATGGGTGTGGCGGGCAATTTTGGGTGGGGTTCTCCCCTAAAGCCATAATGACTGTATATGCCTAATCCCCCACTGGAGAACCCGATGGTCTTCCAGGAGCAGGGCGGCCCTCACTGCCTCAACATTCCACAGACTACCCTCAGCTTCCTAGCCCCACCCTGTTCCTTTGTTGGAGGGTTTGGGTTTGGACTCCGGTGACCTTGTTCCAGAACTGGGCTCTACTTACCTGGGTGAAGCCCCCATCCACCACTGTGTCCTTCAAGGCCTCCTACTTGGTAATGAGCACAGAACAAAGCCTGGCTGCAGGAGCAGCTTGGAGAGCTGTATCACACCCGAAGACTTTCTTCTCTATTTTTAGCCACCTCCAGGTGTTGAGACTGAGACAGGAAAAGGTGTTGGTGCAGCGATTCTGCATCCCTCTCCTGATTAGTGAAGTAGCTGTTCTGTTTCAAAGTCCTGGGAGGCTGTTCCTTGCCCAAGGTCACACGGCAAGTGGAAGACAGAGCTGACTGCCCACTTGGCCCCTGCAGAAACCCAACCTGAGGTTGGGCTGGGTCTGGGTGGGTGGGGCCTGCTGCCTGAAGCGTCTCTGAATAATATGAGAAGGAGCTTTGTCTGGATAGATGCTGGACCTAGCTCAGGGATGGCTAGCTAGTTCCCAGAGGAGGTGGGGAGACAGGTCCTGGAGGGGAGGGGAGCAAGCAAAGACTGCCTCTGGAGGCTGTTGCCATAGAAACCAGGCTGGAACAAAAAAGCTAATTACCACAGGCTGGGGCAGCCACGTGGCTGACATGTAAATTGCAAGTTTGACTCTAGGGTGGAGGTGCCACTGGTTGGGGGTAGGGGAAGGCAGTGCCAAGGAGACTCCCTAATCAGGGAGGAGACAGCTGTTCCTGCTCTAGAAGGGGAACTGGGGGAGGGGAAACCTGGGGCTGGAGCCTCAGATCAAATCAGGACTCCTGGGGCAATGGCTGACAGCTGCCCTGGCCTGAAGGGAGAGTTGAAGGCTCATTAATGTGGTCACAGGTTGCAGGCCTACCCTGAACATCTGCTCCAGGAAAGGCTAGGGGTGAGTGGGGGAAGGAAGATTGGCAGCCCCAAGGCCTATTTGGTAACCCGCCTATGCTGGGACTGACTCAGCAGTGTAACCCCACTGGGGCTCCTGTCTAGCAAGAGTTAAGGGCCCAGAAGTCAGATCCACACCCAGGCTCTTCTTGAGGTTCTGTGGAGTGCAGAAGAAGCCTGAGTGCTGGATTTGGTTGAGATTTGTTCTGCTTCTCAGCACTGTGGCCCTTAGATTTTCCCATTACTTTTATTCTTTTGGTTTTTTTTATATCTAATCCCCCCCTTTTTGGGGGGGGCGTCTTTTTGAGATAAGGTCTCCCTGTAGCTGCAGCTGGCCTGGATTCGCTAATGGAGACCAGGCTGGCCTCGAACTCACGGAGATGCGCCTGCCTCTGCCTCCCGAGTGCTGGGACTGAAGGCGTGCACCACCACGCCTGGCAAATATCTAACCCTCTTTAACAATGCAAGCAATGGGTAAATTTTCATTAGACAGTGTCTTCCTTTTCCAGTGCTTTCCCACATGGTAATCAGTGCGAGGCATTTTAGCAGTTCCATCCTACTCCCCTAACCTGGAAAGTCCCCAGAGACCAGACTAAAAAGCTAGGCCCTGTGGGAGATGGACCTGTTTAGCATTTGTCCCAAACAACATGAAGTTCCTTGACCAAATTAACTTCCTGCTAATAGATCTGTAGGGTCCCTAGTTCCAGCTGCAGTGGGGGTAGCTTTTCCCTGCTTGAAGTAACTGAGGGAGTG